CCCCTTTGTGGATTTCACCAATTACAGAAATAACTGGAGGAGAGGGATGGAGTTGTGTAGGGAAGAGAAAGTGTAATAAATTCATCTCACAAGAAAAACAAAGAACAGTCTTTGGGAGAAGAGTTCAACATAAGGAAGTGACGGAAACTTGAAAGGATTTCTCACCTAATAGGGTTTAAGCCACAGTGAAAAGGTCCCTGGAAAATAGTCATTGTGAAACTAAATTGATTACTAATAATTTGTCTGGCAGATCTTGTAGAGTCCTTGAGGTAGACAAACTAGGTATTTCTGATTCTGTGTGGGCTCACACTGTTCTCTGCCGCTGGTGGCCGGATGGCTGTGCCACTTATGGCTCAGGCACCCGAGACAGGGGTACTGATGTATTTTCAGGCCTCATTTGCTTTAGAATTTGGTTTTCCATTTCCCAGAGGTGACTAATCAAGAGGTAGCCCCCTACTTTAGGCCCAGAGATTGATTATGTATTTTGTTATGTAATGTACTTCTAAATAATTTAAAACAGACTTTTAAAAAGATGATTTTTATTTTTTCAAAGATTTTATTTATTTATTTGATAGAGATCACAAATAGGCAGAGAGGCAGGCAGAAAGGGAGAGGGGGAAGCAGGCTCCCCGCCCAGCAGAGAGCCCGATGCGGGGCTCGATCCCAGGACCCTGGGATCATGACCTGAGCCGAAGGCAGAGGCTTTAACCCACTGAGCCACCCAGGCGCCCCTAAAAGAGGATTTTTAAAATCAAAGGAAAACTTAGAGCATCTGAAGTAAAGCCCCCACACAGAATGACGATTTTAACTTATCTTTTCCTGATTAAACCTTGACCTCTTAAGGTCTGTTGCAGATGCAGGAAAATGTATGCAGTTTTTGAATTCTGTGGCCTTGGCTATCGTTTGTCACGGAAAAAGTGTCCTTGGCTGAGTAGTATTTTTGAGTGACAGAGAAGTGTTGGCCTTTGGTACTTTCGGATTCTTTTCTAAAGAGTAGAATCTCTTGGAAAGTGGGAAGTGTATCACACTCTCAGCAGGGAAAAAAAATGCACTTACTGGTAGCTTTTCTTTCTTGCCTTTTTTTTTTTTTTTTCCTTCTGCCTTTCAGAATCTTTGCCAAGAACTGGAAGCAAAGTTTTATGAAGGGACTTTTAATTGGGAAAGTGTCAAGCAGCATGATGCCGCCAGCCTGCTGAAGTTCTTCATCCGGGAGCTGCCCCAGCCGCTGCTCAGTGTAGAATATCTCAAAGCCTTTCAGGCCGTCCAGAGTAAGTGCCTTCTCTCTTTGAGGCAGCCCATGTGCTGGTGCCATCCATGTTGATTGTTTTAATGACACTTTGCCTCACAGAAAATATAACTGGTTATATTCGGAGAGACATATTGACTCTCTGTCAGCGGCAGCTCAAATGCCATACATTGTTGTCCTTTTCCTTTACAAATAAACATCTCTGAGTAAACAGATGACAGGATGTTCTCCTCAGGGACAGATTAATTGCATGCCCATTGAGCCCTGCACTATATTTTCTTGTTAAAACCTGGAACTTCGCATTTCTTGTATAATAGAATGAGTCACGTAAGTTCTGATACATTTTTCTTGCCAAGTGTTAAAAGCAACACTTACTGGAGAAGCTGTGGATTAACAGTTATCATAAACTCACAAGGAGATGAGCAGAGTCTGTGATTATTTCCTGAAAAATGAAGTTCTGAAATTGTCATGCAGAAACGTGGAACAAATTATTTGGCTGCCTCGTTGGAGGAAGGTTACAGACTTCTTCTACCTTGCCATTTTGTGGTATTGCGCAAGCTCCAATTTAATGTATCGAATAGTTCTTGATTCTTTTCCAGTGAACACAGAGATCTTGTAAGGTTTGCATACTGGTGTAATTATTCCTTTTAGTCCCAGAGGCCATCAAAAAAGGAAAAATGCCATCGCTACATTCTAATGACCATATCTTTAACTTCCCAACTGGGACACCTTGAGAGGGAAAAGGTGCCACTATTGATGATTACGGTGAGCTACAGTGTCCACCAGAACTCTTCTGGGTCATTCCAATTTTTTTTTTTTATTGAGATATAATTGACCTACAACATTCTGTACAACATAATGGTTCAATATTTTTATGTATTGTGTAGTGATCATCACCGTAAGTCTGGTTAACATCCATCACAACATATATTTACAGAATTTTTTTCTCTTGTGATGAGAATTTTTAAGATCTACTCTCTTAGCAACTTTCAAATATGCAATATATTGTCAACTGTAGTCGCCATGCTGTACCTTATGTCCCCATGACTTCACTGTTTTGTAACTGGAAATTTGTACCTTTTGACGCCCTTCACCTATTTTGCCCACACCCCTCCCAACCGTAGCTTCCACTAATTGTCCTGTATCTATAAGCTGATTTTGTTGTTGTTTTTCTACAGTCCCACATATAAGTGAAATCATATATTTGTCTTTGTCTTGTTTTACTTAGTATAATGCTCTCAAGATCCATTCATGTTGTCTCAAATGGCAAGATTTCTATTTTTATGACTTAGTAATATTCCATTATTTCCAGCATATTCTGAGTAATACTCCATTGTTTATCTTAAAGCATGTGATATTAAGATGATTCTCATGTGTCTTCTCATGACATTTCTTCACAATTTCTTAGGGGAGACATGACTAAAATCATCTGTGTTTAAAATATTTGTAATGGTTAAGTTATGCTCTTTTGCATACATTCTTTGGATATGGATTCAAGGACAAATCCACTCCTTAGGAACAAAGTACCAGAACAATTCCAAATATCCATGAGTATTACTTCCATGGGTCGAGGGTTACTAAAAGTGATAACTATCAATGATCATCGTGTACCTCTTTGACTCAGTCATCACTGGTTGGTTTTCTAATTCATTCCATAGACATTTATCTACCACTTACTGTGTTCCAGGCTCCATTTTACTTCTTCCTTTTGGAATCAGTGGACTCTTAGCATGTGATTTATCCACTCACCAGTGAAGAAACAACCTTCACTGTTACAGAGGCACTCTCACACCATACCGTGGAAGGGCTAACTTTCTGTGTCTCTTCATTGGGGAATAATTATCACGCAGAAGTTAAAATTATTTCCAAAGCACTGTTGTGTGTCTGCAAACATAAGGCCGCTCGTCATATGATCACAGTTGGAAGTGAGCATTCTGAGAGGAAGCTCTAACGCAGCAGCTGCTTCTCCTGATCTCTCTTAAACACACTCTCAAGAATGCTCGCTGCTCAGTTGTTGTGTCTTAAATTTCACAGGGATGTTTATGCCAAATAACTTTTTTCTTACAAAATGAAAAAAGGAAGTAAAAAAAAAATGTTTGGTAAAGAAAAGAGTTCCGATTTATTTAATCTGTCTGCAGATCTTCCAACCAGGAAGCAACAACTACAAGCTTTGAACCTTCTTGTCATCCTCCTGCCTGATGCAAACAGAGACACACTTAAGGTCAGCGGATTCATTTACGTTAAATATCCCTCAGAACTCAGAGGAGTAATTTCTCATTATTTGTGGTAAAACAGGGTGAAGTTTTCATGGAAATGTTCCTAGTTAAGTCTCTAAAGGAAAGACTGACTTTTAAAGATAAATGGTGGAAGTTTTTAACTCTTCACTAGTGTATGTACTAGACTAGTCATGTTAATAGTATTATCAGGTGTTTAATTTTTGCTGTAACGCCTCTACTGGAACCAATGAGTGAGGTTCATTTTTTTTTTTTTGATGGAAATTTGGGTGCTTTTGGTTTCTTTTTATTTTTCTATGTCTTCCAAATTTAATTTAATGAACATGTAGTTAGTTAGAAATGGATGTTTAAAAAGAAAGTTGTAAGGCTCATCAAATAAAACCTGTTGCCTAAAGATGTTACATTTGTAGTGCTAAGCAGTAGAGTTTGAAATAAGTCATAATGATGATTTTTGAAATGTTTGGTTAGCCAAAAGATAGACTGACTCAAACAAATTCTAGTACTTTCTCTAATGGCTTACCCTGAGTTTTTGATTTACATCAGCATTTTAAAGTGATTTGGTCTATATGATTTAATACCATTTATTATAAGCATTGTTGGAGGCTTTTATAATAATCAGTGGATTGTTCCATATTTATTTTCTTAACAGCAAAAGTTTACAGAGTAGTTGTAAAGGTTTAGTTATAAACTTACAAAAGAAAAAGGAAACTTCTAAAATATAATTTAGAAAGAGTAGTTACCTTAAGTTGTCATTGCCTCAAAAAATTGCTTTTATATAGCCAATGGCAGAACCCTTGCCCCTCTACCCTCTATATTTCTTTCTATTTAAAATGAGAAATCATGCCAAGAAATTTCATGTCGAGAAAACAAAGCCAGTTGATAAATCTTGGAAGTTTTTCCTATACCTCATTAAGACTCCTTGAACTGAAACTAGGTGATAGTTCTTTCGTGCCCAAGGAATTGAATGTTAATACTGAACTTTCCTGGATGAAAGAGTTTATGAGGATTACTGGAGTAAAATCCCTGCATCTCTACAGGAGAACTTCCAAAGAGTTATTCCCTTTACTAAGTCAGGGGAAAAAAAAGGTCTTTTGCTTCACCGATTGTTACATGCTGAGAAGGCTGTGCATTAGGTGGAGGTGTTTTGAAGAGAGAGGCCAGCACCAGAAAGGGTTACATTTGAACATTGTGTGACCAGAGTTGGCTGTGTAAGGGTAGATTGTGGCTGAAATAGGACAGCGTGGGGACTGATTTCCAGTCTTCTTGTCAACTATGCCCTGACACAGAGCCCTGAAAGAGAAATGTAATCCATCTTTCTCTTATTCACATAGAGGTACCTGTCTGTGATGGCTCTATGAATGACCAGTATAAGGCAGGCATTGAAAGACACATGATTTACTTAAAACGTGTCTGCATTCAAATGAGTTCAAATATTTGTGAGAGGAAACACTTATTCCAATATGGTTTCTAATGGGGCAAGGCTGGTCTACAACTCAGTTTTGGAATTTGCCTTCAGAGTCCCCGGCACACTCTTTTGAAAATTCTGTTGAAAGAGATACTTTTAAAAATTTTAGAATAGCTTTAATTTTTTCATATAAGGTTGCTAGGACTATAATTGTATGCATCAAGAGGGAAATACTCTTTTAGAATAAAATATTGGAAAATGCAAAAAAAGTAAATTTAATAATTAACCTTTATTTAAGAGCTTAATTAGCTAGCCTTGATGGATGTTTCAAACAAGAACTCTAATAATAGAACCATTGAAATGGGAATGCCATATGTACAAGAAAATAAACCACTTACATTTAGTTCAAAGTGAAGGAAAACTCTGTCACAAGATAATTTCAGGAAGCTTAATGCAAACTTCTCCAGTTTTTACCAGCCTAGTGCAACTCTCGCATTTGCTGTTTGGAGGAACGGGATCAGGTGTATAAACTTTGTAGACTGTAACTACAGCACACTGAAGGGTTAGGAGGCACCATGTCCTACTTTAAGCCTAAAGAGACAGATGTCTAGACAAACTGCTTGGGGGGGATCTTTTTGACCTTGGATTATTGTATATTGGGATACTTTTTACTTGGAGGAACAATGAAGACCAGTATCAGCAGGAGATCTGCGTTAATATAATTATTGGTGTTTGTTTGTTTGTTTGTTTATTTATTTATTTATTTATATTTTTAGGAAGATAGCTGTACACATTGTCTTGCTCAGTCCTGGCAGGCTGGAAGATTAGTATTACTGTTTTATGAGTAGGAAGAATTTAAAGGACAGAGATGTCAGAAGTTTACCCTAAGATCTCACCTAGCTAATAAATGACTGTGTTGGGAATCAAACTGGTTTTCAGGGAATAGGTCCAGTGAGACTTAAGTAATAGCAGACTAGTGATACTTTTTTTTTTTTAAGAGGGAGAGAGAGAATCATAAACTAGGCTCCATGCCCCCTTGTGGAGCCCAATGTGGGGCTCAATCTCATAACCTTGAGCTGAAGTCAGGAGTCGGACGCTTAACTGACTGAGCTACCCATGTACCCGGATATTTTTTGAAAAAGGTCAGTTCTTCTATTTCAGGTAAAGAGAAAATATATCTGACGATGAAGTGCTGTCAGTAAGGGCAAGGTTAACATTTTTTAAATTTCGTAATCTACATACACAGAAATACACACATTCAAATATTCTGATGGTAATGGTTTAAATAATCTTACTGTATATGTGCACCACAATTAAGGTGGTTTATTACCTAATCTCTATAATTTATGCTTTGTAAAGAAAGAGATACACTGCTCCCTGAATAATTATTCTGGTCTCTGGAACAAAATTAAATTTTTTTCTCCAACCCTCACCAATTAATCTTTTGTCCTCATTTGAGAAGGTATTGTTACTATATAACCTTATGCTTGGATTACAGTGTAACTTTCTGAGAGCTGTACCAGATATTAGATACATAAATCTTATGGTTAGATATTGAGGTTGTGCCTTTAGTTTGTTTCAAATTTTTGAAGTCTGTATAGCAGCTAAACTTGATTTAAAGATCCACTTGTTAACATAGGAATTTCACCTCCCCCCCCCCAAATCTTGGGAGCAATGAACAGCTTCTTTTTGTTCCTTTCTTTTTCCACTTCGGTATCATTTATTTGACCTCTTTCTGATTGGGATTTTAAGCTAAATATGAAAACATGATTCTTTTTGTAGTTTTTTTTTTTTTTAAGATTTTATTTATTTGACAGAGATCACAAGTAGGCAGAGAGGCAAGCAGAGAGAGAGGGGGAAGCAGACTCCCTCATCAGCAGAGACCTGATGCGGGACTCGATCCCAGGACCCTGAGATCATGGCCTGAGCTGAAGACAGAGGCTTAACCCACTGAGCCACCCAGGAGCCCCGATTCTTTTTGTAGTTCCCAGTTCAGAAGCAAAAGCCAGAGAGACCTTCTCCACCATTTGCCAGCTCTATGATCTCTGGTACATTACTTAAATTCACTTACAACTTGTTTCCTCATCTGTAAAAGGGAGATAATTATAGCTTCTCTCTCCAGTAAGGATTAAGTGAGATGATGTCTATGATATGCTTAAAACCATGCCTCACCCATAGGGAACATTGAATACTTATATTGTTGTTGTTACTAGTCTAGACCAAAGTTAATTCAAGGAAGAAGGCAAAAGAAGAACTTAAAGCCCTAAGTCCTGTCAGGAGGATGATGATCTAAGTTGCCTGTGGCTATTACGGAGGGCAGGCTCAGAGGACCCAGGAGTGTTGGCAATAGAGGTGGGAGGTGGGTGGTATCAAAATGAGCATAAAGCAGCCTGTTCTGGTGAAAAGTTCCTTTTTATTTACACATTCAGTTTTTAAAAAACTCTTCCTTGGTCTCTGTTCACCCCCTCATCCCTCTACATGGCAGTCTCCATTCTTTTTAGATTTCTTGTCAGCTAGCTATTGAGTACTTTAAAGCAAATGAAACTGAGGTTAAATGAGCCTTTCTAAGGGGATTTTTTTAACCCCTAAAGATAAAAGTGAAGCACTTCCTGAAGCAAGTGAATATTTGTAGGATATTTGAAACTGCTTTTCAGTGCTCCGTGGCTCCTGTAGGCCCTATGTTTGACGCTTCTCCATTCCTCTCCCCACTGCCTAGTTCAGATGGGTGTCCTGTCTGCCTCATTCCCCTGTGTCATAGCCCTTTCACAGAACAAAACACCACCTCAGGGTGCTAACCAAATGGAGAAGCTTTAATGCTGAGGCCCATTGAACATAGCTAGCCGACTGTGGTTATTATGCACAACTTACTTGTTTTTGTTTTTTTTTTTAAGATTTTATTTATTTATTTGACAAGACAGAGATCACAAGTAGGCAGAGAGGCAGGCAGAGAGAGACGGAGAAGCAGGCTCCCTGCCAAGCAGAGAGCCCGATGTGGGGCTCGATCCCAGGACTCTGGGATCATGACCTGAGCCGAAGGCAGAGGCTTTAACCCACTGAGCCACCCAGGCGCCCCATTGTTTTTAACTAAGTAAAAAATCCCATACACTACAGTGTTTCAATCTCTTATCTTCATGAAAACACAAATCTAGAAGAGTCATTTCTGTTTCAGGCCCTGCTTGAATTTCTCCAAAGAGTAATAGACAATAGAGAGAAAAATAAGATGACAACCATGAATGTAGCCATGGTCATGGCCCCGAATCTCTTCATGTGTCACACACTGGGTTTGAAGTCCAACGAACAGCGAGAATTTGTCATGGCAGCTGGGACAGCTAATATCATGCACTTATTGATTAAGTGTCAACAAGTTCTGTGGACAGTGAGTATATATTTTTAAGTTCTGTTAATGAGTGATGATATCTAGTTTCTAAAGTCATTTTAGGTTTAGATTTTCTAAAACAAGCCAATAGAGGTGATTTCAAGTGTCATTAAAAAAAAAAAAAAAAAAGGATGTCCATGTACCGGAAATGAATATAACACTGTAAGTTAATGACATTGGAATTAAAATAATGCCCACTTATTAAATCTCAGTTTTTAAAATAACAGTATTATTTCATTGTTTCAATTTGCTAATTTCTAAAATGTTTTATTTTTGCTAACGTAATTTCTGAGGATCAGTTTTTCCTAGATTATTGCTAGAACCCCATTAGCTTTTATTGGTGAGTTTTTCTTTCTCTTTTGAGGTGAGGCTAGCTGGTTTGGAGAAGGGGTGCAGGCAGGCTAAAAGCTGGGTTGTTGGCAGGTGGCTGCTAAACGGACCAGCCGCCAAGGTGGTGGTCCCTAACGCCAGTCACCTCAGGCAGTCTCTAATCTTGGCATATAAGGAATAGAAGGTGGCCACTGCGTCCTTGAACTTTACCAAGCCTCTTTTTGAACCTCACTTACACAATGGGAGGTAAATTACTTCATGTATATGCTCTGTACTCATAGTGAATGAATAATACGATGCATTTTTTTTTGCATATTTTATGAACTGTGCATGTAAAATAGCCTAGTCTTATGATCTGGACAAAACCTTAACTTCTCTCCACATTTAAAACATAAAGATAATTATTTCCGTAGTTCATAATGGAACCACTTCTCTTTTCTCCCCAAACTTAATTTTATTTCTCCATAGATTCCCAAGTTTATTGTCAACCAAGTGAGGAAGCAAAACAGTGAAAATCATAGAAAAGACAAAAAAGCCATGAAGAAATTGCTGAAGAAAATGGCTTATGACCGAGAGAAATACGAAAAGCAAGATAAGAATACAAGCGATGTAAGAAAAACTTGAAGATATGTATTTATGCAGATTTCAGTATTGTTTTTACGATCATGTGCACGAGAAAGAGTTTCGTATGTTTCTGTAGTAGGAGGACTTTCTACACACTTACTGGGCCCTTTGCTAATGCTAAGTTAAAGGCCTCAATAAGGGTAACTGTGCTCCTATGAACAATCAGTAGTAACAGTTGCTCAGGTGTTGGTGACTCAGCATAAGAGCTGTTAATGGGGAACAAAGGAAAATAACAAGACCAGAGTGTCTCGACACCGCCCCCCCCACACACACAAAGGACTCTGTGGAGACTCCAGCTGCCCACCGAATCTGTATTCTCTATGCAGTAAAGAGTCCCTGTGTGAACCACTGATCTTTTTTCTTCCATTTTCTCATCTGTAAAATGGGGAAAAATAACAAACTCAGATCAGCATATAGGTCAGTGGTTGGTTATGCCTAGCATCCTTCGTGGGTTTCAGTAAGTATGGAAATGGTTCCTCATCGGATCATGTGAAGAATTTGGTGAGATTTATGTTGGAATGAAGAAAATTAAGATGTTTTAAAAAGAAATACCTAAATCCACCATTTACAACCTGCTGTAAGAATATAAGGAATAGGTTTAAAATAATAAAATATGTGTGAAAACACATTTATGGAACACATTTATCAAAGCTCTAACTTAAGATCCTGAAATGAAAGGGTTTCTATTGTTCTGTTTATGGTGGAGACAACCCCCTCTAGCCACACCACCATTGAGGTTATTCGGTTACATGCTGACATCTTGTGGAATAATGTGGAAGTGCAATTATCAGCTTTTGGTTTTTGTTTTTTGTTTTTTGGGGTTTTTGAGCTTTGACCTACTTAGAAAACTAGTCATTGTAAAATATATATATATATATATATATATATATATATATATATATAAAATAATTTATAACTTAAAAATATATACATTCTATAAATATAGAATATAAATATAAGTATATCTATATATCTATATCTATAAATACATATTCTATAAATATGGATAGATATGTATCTTATATATCTACATATTCTATATTATGGCTCTCACCATTACAAAATAATGTATTTTTGGCATGAATATTTTTGGTTCATTTTAAGTATCTTTAAGAACATAAAGTTTAATAAAGGGGAATTGTAAATTGTGTTATATTTTTTTGAGAAAGGGCTTGGTATTGTCATGGGTTAGAAAGGATTTTTGGTGTGCCACTTTTGTTTAACTTAGAACAGTTTATTTCCTCTAAAACCATTATAAATATGTGTCATCTTGCTTTGTAGCTCTGCTTATTCATATTAACTTAGGTGACTTTATAGCCCTGTCTTTTATAACATGATTCTCTGAGGTACATTATCTATCTGAGGAAACATTTATGCTGCTGTACTTTTAAATAATGAGACCATAGACAAAATAATTTAAAAGTTGTATTTTGGAGATGAGATGTTGACATGATTTTGTTATTTACAGAGAATTTGTGTTAACTTGGATTTCATTAGTTTGTACTTCGAGTTAATTAGATGAGACTTGGTCTGAGAATTATTTCTGTACTAGTTAGAAGCCACATTGCCATTTTAAGGCCTGGAATTTAAACCTGGATTTACTCATGTATTAAGTATTACTCAGGGAGTAAATCCTGTAGCCCGGGGTAGCCTGGACTACAAAACAGGAAGTGGGCATGAGAGAGGCTTCCCTGGGAAGCAGAGCTGAGATGTGAAGAACATGTAGGTATTATGTAGGCAGCAAATTGAATAGAGAAGTCTCACTGGCCGAGGAGGCCTCCTGACAGAATGGTATCCCCTAGGTAATCATGACCCGTGATGATGGTTCATTGGACCTGTCATTTTGGTTGAAAAATTTTAGTCACTTGCCAGAATTTTGTTCAAGGTACTGTCATTTTATTAGGGAGAATAACAATGCACAGAAAGCGATTATAGAACAACGATGTTATTGGATGGAAGATGGGCCATCTACTTTGTTGATTAGCTGCCCAATCCCATTCGGTCTTGGTAGTTTGTGTTTCCTTACTCCCGCTGTCCCCCAAATCCTTTGAATGTGTAGCATGAGATTATGGAGCACAAGACTTCCTGGGATATTTTATTCATTTTCTAAACAACTATTTAGTGTATGGCTATCATGTGCCAGGCACTGCTCTAGGCACCTAAAAGATGTTATTAAACTAAATAGAATATTGCTGTTCTTGTGCAGCTTAAATTCTGTAAGAATTAATGAGTAAATTACCTAGTATGTTAGTATGTGGTAAGTGTTCTAAAATAATAAAGATAGCACAGACAAAGAGGATTGAGGGAAGGAGCCCCTTGCAATATTCAGTTGGGTGTTCTAGGTATCATTTGTATGAAGACATGAAGGAGGGACAGAGAGCTGTGCTAGATGTTTTTCTCAGGAAGCACAGAAGGAGTAGTCTGTCAAAAGCCTTTTGGCAGAAACTTGCTTGGGGTATTTGAGGACCAGCAAGGAGTGCTCTGTGACCCGAGTGGAGCTGGCAAGGGGGATGGGAGTATGAGATGAAATCACAGGGACCATGGACCAATAAATTACATAGGGATGTAGTGTTTGTAGGGCATCTTTTAGGAATTTGAATTTATCCTGAGCGAAGTGGGACCATTGCAAGATTTGAGCAAAGGCTTGAAAATCTATGTTTTAAAATGCTCCCTTGGACTACTGGGTTGAAAATAGACTCTAGGAGAGCCAGCATAGATGGGGAGACCATAAAAGAGGAGAGACCAGGATATTCTTAATGTCTTAAACCAAGTGAGACACCAGGATATTAGCAGTGGAGGCAACGTGTTCAGGGTCTTTGTCTTTTGAAGTTGGAGCCATTGGAATTCCTTCAAGTCGAAATGATATGAGTTGTAAGAGAAAGAAGTAAAAAGTGGCTCCAAGGTTTTTGGCTCAAGAAATTGGAAGGACAGAGTTGCTCCTTCAATGGGGAAAATCACGGTTTTCAGTTAGGGTGTGTTGAGTGTGAGATTTGTGTTAGAAAAGAAAGTAGGGATGTTTGAAGGTGTTTGGTGGGAAAATGAGGTCATAGGGGCCATTGAGGTGCATGGAGGGGCAGGGGCAGAAAGAAGGCCAGAGTGGGTCTCTAGGGTGAGGCAGGCTTCTATGCTGAGGAAAGACTTGACCCTAGGAGCTACAGGATTATTTCTTCATTTTTAAGGGTTTTATTTATTTATTTGTCAGAGAGGGAGAGAGAGAGAGAGAGAAAGAGCAAGCACAGAAGCAGGGGGAGCAGCAGGCAGGGGGAGAAACAGGCTCCTCCTGAGCAGGGCACCTGATGCAGGACTTGATCCCCGGACCTTGGGTCATGACATGAGCTGAAGGCAGGCGCTTAACCGACTGAGCCATCCAGGCGCCCCATATATGCATTTTAAAATTTAAAAATTGCTGTGCTGTCAGCTGAAGGAAAGTTTGGAGCAGTGAAAAATAGGAGGTTACATGGGAGATGCCAGCTAATTTCATTGCTGATGGGAGTGCATAAATTGGTAGGATCCCTCTGGAGAGCAGTTAGCATGTGGCCAAGGCCTGAAAACCGTGCTCCTCGTTGTATCCAAAAATCCCTTCGAAGGGAATAATACGATGTGCAAAGAGTTATGCTTAAGTTCACTGCCATATTCTTTATTCCGGCCAGAATTAGAAATAGTCCCAAAAGGATACGATCAGTTACATATTTTATAGCATGTCTGTGTAGTGAAATATCACAGAAATATAAATGTATATATTGACATTGGAAGATATTTCTAGTATGTTAAAGAAAAGCTACAAATCCATGAATATTGCCATATTCGTAAGGGGTAATAATTGTCATGAGGTCAGGCACGATGCTAAGCATTTTGCAAACATCGTCTCATTTAATATTTACAGCAGTTTAATTGAAGTATACGGTATTATTGTCTCATTTTTTATAGATGAGGAAAGTGAGGTTCAGCAATCTTAAATAACTTACTGAAGGTTATCTGGATAAGAAGTGGGGAGCTGGAATTTGAAACCAAATCTGGAGGACCTTAAATCTGGTCTCTTTACTCTTATCCTCTATTTCATTATGTGGGACAGAAAAACTCTGAAAAGGGTATATACCCCAGTCCTGGGCTAGTGTGGAGTAATAGAGTAAACATGTATTCTGCCATTACTAACGTGTTTAACAGATAGCTTGAAACAGTTCAAGGCCCTGCCAACACCCAGCAATGGCACTGGAAGGCAGTTTTAAATGCGAGCCACGAGGACCCACCAGATGTGGAAACGAATTGGATATGAGGAATGTAGAATGGGGAGAAATCTAGAATGACTCGCTGATTTTACCTTGGGTGATTTTATCCTTGAGAGAAAGCATTAAGGAAAAGGAACGGGCTTTGATGAGAAAGTCAGTTTGGGACATTTGTAATTGACTTGCCTGTGTGAAAGTACTTTGGCTACATGGGCCTGAAGCTCAGAAGGCAGCTGGAGCTGGAGGTGTGCTTTTGGGACTTATCGGAGAGATTGTTCTTGAAGCCACAGACACCAATATTTTAGTGGTGGGCCATGGGAGAGGAGCATAGAGGCAAGAGGCAAGACATAGTAGGAAGTCAGAGGAAGTGGAAGATTATAGCGTCTTTAGAAGCCCAGGGTGGGAGACCGGGGAGGTAAATGAGTTTGGTTAGTAGTACCCCATGCCAGAGAGAGGTTGGAGGAAGGTAAACACTGGACAGAGGTCCAGTGAATTTTGCATTTGAAGGTCACTTCTGACTTTCTCCAAAGCATTGTAAGTAACTATTGATGGAAGAAGCCAGATTGCCAGGCATTGAAAACAAGAGACTGTAGATCATGAAAATTCACCAAGGTAGTATTTTTTAAAGCATTCTGCATGCTGTTATTCCTAACTCTATGTAATCAGGATTCATGCTTTTGAGACATGCTTGACTAGATAAAAATTAACAGTTTGAACCAGGTTGAAAGGGATATAATCTACTTAATAAGACAAATGTTTTTA